TTTTTTGTTTTGTTTTTTTTTTGGGGGGGGGGGTATTCGTCTGCCCCTTCATATGGACAATGCAGTCCTTCATTGGGGGTCTGTTTTTGAAGTCCTTAGACCTAGGTTGGTCCTTCAAGACTCCGCCTACTGAACCTTAACTCTGTCTCGGACTTTGGCTAAGCCTGAGCTATTCTGTCAGCTGTTCTTCTGCACCCTTTCTGGCCAATGCTTTCTCATTTCTGGAGTGTCCAGAAACCCAAGCTATTTAGACTTTATTCCGCTAATTTATTTATTTATTTGTTTACGGTATAACACCATTTTTACAAGGGTTGACACTACAGGGTTGACATGCTGATACAGATACAATATTGAAAGATTGAGATTAAATGAACGAAAAGTGATTAAAGAGTGAAGGTGAAATGTGAAATACAATTGCTTAGCCTAATTAAATTTTCTTCCCTTCTGCCTTTTCTCATAAGGTCCTTTTCTCGCTTAGGTACCATTTTGAGTGTGCTTTAACACCTCTCCTGTTTGTGACTCTCTCGTACACAAGACCCCAGGGTTTGGACCACTATCTCATAAAAAAGATTAAAATTGCTACTACATTGGTGCAGGCTAGACACATTTATTTGATCATTAACCCTAGCAGTGGCCAACCGTCGCCTGGTGACGGTATGACGTTGATGCTTAGAATGGCCAATGTCGTCTGGTGACGGTATGGGCCGAAATTTTTTTAACGGTAAAAAAACACTTACAATCAACTCAGATGAGAATAATATATATACCATTCGAAAGATCACATTCTGAACTTTCATTTGATTACATAAACAAACCCTGTAGCAGGTATATAACAATGTCACGACGATTAGAAATCAAATGAAATTTTGGCGCAGTACGACTTTTGCAGCCGACACTTGGGAACTGGCAAAACACGTCTTGTTTGGCATTACCCTGCTCGGGTAATTTTCGTCTTGGGATTTTGTGGGTGGTACCACTGGATAGCCATTGATTTTATCTTCATTGTGGTAGTGATATTTATAACTAAATATTGATTGCACAATCGGTACGATTTTATGAAAACAGCTGTTTTCGAAATTTCTAACAAATGGCCAACAGTCGTCTGGTGACAGTATGGAAAATACGAATTATATACAGTGAAAGTTATTATTACTAGTCATATAGTATATCATTTTGAAGAGGAAGAAATTTAGATTCAGAGAGTGGCAGCCCTGCACTCAGGGTTATTTCTGTATGCTCGCATGTAGACGACAAGTGAGTCATTAGTGACTGCTTGCTACAGTCTGTCAGCTGTCTTGTATTGCCATTGTTTGTTTGTGTTGTTGCTGGTAATAGTTTTATCCGCGATTTATTACTAAATATGTTATTAGTTCGTAGTGTTAGTGTTAGTGAAGTGTTGTGTGTGTGTATAACAGTAATCTTCATGCATAAATATTACTGAATTGTGTGAAATAGTGTTCATAAAAGGTTGTATTTTGTTAGCATCATGTCCTAAAATGACGATTCTGACATTCAGAGATTGTTGTACCTATATAATGATATACCCAAGGTGTTATACATTTTTATAAAGGTAAATGAATACACTACAACATGTTTATAATGGTTTGGGGGTAAAAAATTTTGTAAAAAAGTTATAGCCTATACTAAATAGGCCTACTACTGTATTTTGTTAGCATCATGTTCAAAAATGACGATTCTGATATTCAGAGGTGCTATATATGCTATATAATGATTTACCCAAGGTGTTATACATTTTTATAAAGGTAAATGAATACACTACAACATGTTTATATTGGTTTGGGTGTAAAAAATTTGGTAAAAAAATTATATAGGCTACTAAATACTGTACACTCCATTTTCTCGAAATGCGCAAAAAATTCAAAACGTTTTCAAATTGATACATAATCATAGGTGAAAATAACTTTTTACCATCATACTTATGACTTTTTTGGATTCCTTACTTCATTAGCTTTACAAATATGTAGGCTACATATCATCAGCCTACATAATGTTTCACAACACAAGCAAACACTGTAGGCTATAGTTTACACTTATTTGCGGTTTTGCGGTTATTGTATTATTATGTTCCTATTACGTACCTACAAAAAAAAATATTTCTAACATGTTATACATTTTTATGTAGGTAATTGAATACACTACAAGATTATTATGTTGGTTTGAAGTAAACAAATTTGGTACAAAAGTTGTATACTAAGTACTGTGAATTTTTTTCTCGAGAAATCGCTAAAATATAAAAACATTATTTTATATACGTATGTTTATAGGTAACAAATTATTTTTACCATAAACTTTATGACTTTTTTGGATTCCTTACTTCATTAGCTTTACAAATATGTAGGCTACATATCATCAGCCTACATAATGTTTCACAACACAAGCAAACACTGTAGGCTATAGTTTACACTTATTTGCGGTTTTGCGGTTATTGTATTATTATGTCCCTATTACGTACCTACAAAAAAAATATTTCTAACATGTTATACATTTTTATGTAGGTATTTGAATACACCACAAGATTATTATGTTGGTTTGAAGTAAACAAATTTGGTACAAAAGTTGTATACTAAGTACTGTGAATTTTTTTCTCGAGAAATCGCTAAAATATCAAAACATTATTTTATATACGCATGTTTATAGGTAAAAAATTATTTTTACCATAAACTTTATGACTTTTTTTGATTCCTTACTTCATTAGCTTTACAAACATGTATATATCATTATTAGTATACACATATATTATAGAACTTTTTACAACATAAACTAACACTGCACGGCTTTCAATTTTTTCGATTCTCCGTTTGTCATTATATTTCGCCCCAAAAACTTATAAAAAAAATATTTTCCTAACATGTTATATATTTCTATGTAGGGAATTAGATTGTCTACAAAATGTATATAATGAATTTCCCATAAAATAATCCGTAGAAAAAAAATTCAGAGGCCGCTTTTGAAATTTCAAAAAAAATTCAATTTTTTTTTATTTTTTTCACTTTACCGATAAAATACACTGTCTAAATCATTATGATATTACTATTTCTAGATTCTCCTGTTCTTTCCGAACAAAATGAATATGAGGTTGGCTAGGTTTACTTGTACGGTTGAATTTTTACGAATTTTCACAAAATGGTCTGCAAAATCGCCAAAATGGGTTGGCCATTCCCCACTTCTAACATTGGCCACTGCTAGGGTTAAACATCATAATCCAAATAGATCATGTCAAATATGTATAGCAAATTAAGAAATAAAAAAGATAGGCCTACATGCAAGTCACAAATCACAAAAAACAAATCCAGGATCGGTGACTCCAGGAGCCGGACTCCATGGTACACGACTCCTCAGGCTTCAACTGATTATTAGGAGTTTGACGGGGGAAGTGTGAGAGCAAAATAATGTTCAATCGGATCCCAGAAAGATGCACGTGAGATACTGTTAAAGTTAACTAAACTTAGCTGTTGAATTCTGGTTGAGATTGAACAGGGAACCGCAGATTTAAAAAGAACATAACACTAAGTTAGGTACTTGGCTTACCTTTACATAGGTATTTGCCTATGGATCATTAACTTAATTAATCATCCCTTTTAGCTGTGTAGCCTACATCAACAAAATTTAAGATTTAGGCTACTGTACTTAAAGATTAGAATTAAAAAGTAGGTGGCCTAATGGGTGCGCCTAATTGACAAATAGGCCTTAAGAAATAGTCTTCAATAATTTTACAACTTCTAAATTGGCCTCCCCACTTCGATTAAGTAGGCCTAAATGTTATGGGGGATTTGCGGTCCTATTTGGAATGTGCACAGGAGCCATAACTTAAGTAGGCCTAGCTCTGAGCATTTCTACAGCTGTGAATTTACAAATCCACCCACTTCACTTGACAGACCCAATTGGAAGATTTAGCATAACCCATCAGATAGGCAAGTAAATAACTTAGGCCTACCTACCTTAACTTAGGGAGTGGTGTGGAGAAATATGACAGTTTCTCGGTTACCTACCTAGTCTGGATGAAATCTAAGTTAGATCGTTTTAGCCTTGCAAAATACACGGAGGATACGCGTCAGGTAACCGAACATGGATTAGGCGTCCAGCAGTGACGATACGATTTACAGCTACCGTATCGGTGTTTGTGGTGTAGTGGATAGAGTAGGCCTACTCGGCTGTTGTACAAGAGGTATCTAGAACGAATCCCATCGGTGACACTAACTTCTAGTCCAAGATTTAACTTACAAAATAAGCACCAGTACCGGTAAGTTAAGTTATGATCTAGAGCCTTTAACTGCAGCATAGGCGAACTAGCATAGGATTAGGATCTAGCATATGGAAAACTGGGGTTTTGATTAATCACCCTACGTTCTTTTTGGCAACCGACTCCATCACATTAGAACATAAAAGTATCGGCTGCACTTTACTTGACGTCCTACACTCATTCGATTGTTTTTTTCGATTCGATATTTGCATTCGATATATTGTTTGGTTAGTTAGGTTAGGTTAACCTTACCTAACTAACCAAACGGTATATCGAATGAAGCAATCGATTAATCGATATATCGATCGATATTTTCATTCGAATGAGTGTAGGACGTCAAGTAAAGTGCAGCCAAAGTATCCGATTCAATAAATTAAGTTTAAACTTAACCAATAACTTACCCAAACTTTCTAACTTAGGCTACCTTACTAACATAAGTTAGCCTAAGTTTATTTATCAATTAAGTCTAGTTCACTAAAAGGGTTACATGACTTATTTGGGACCTACCCTACCCTAACTTAATGTCCCTGAGTCTCAGACCTTTGACCTACAAAAAACTTTTCATCATGTTTATTTTGTGTAACTTATTCTTACTCGGTAAGTTATCTAAGGTAAGAAAAGGAAAATTGGAATGTATACCTAAAAATCATTCAAATTCTTATAATAATTCACTAACTTATAGAACTTTTAAACTAAATCATGTCAAACAAGTGTCAGAACCTAGGCTAAAATGTGCTACCTTATTGGATTTTGATCCAGAAAACTAGCTGAAAGTTTCATCCAATTTTGAATCACTGAACACTGCACCACACTGTTTTAACCTCGTCATTCCTTTTACAAACACATGAAATAACATGTTATTTCTCAACAAAAACACTAAACAACGCTCGAAATATAAATTAAATTCGTTCGTTTCACCGTTTACTAAACAGTTACACCGTAAACCTCCAGCAGACCACAATGCCACAATGGCGGAATGAGAAATGCTGTTTACCAACACAACAAAACAAAATATTTCGAAATATCCTTTTGAACATGTGAACGCTATCTATGAGATGAAACACGAACTACAGTACAATGAAAGAGTAATTAAGAGCGACCTGGTGGCGAAGCATAGTACTATACACGTAGTTCCGAAGTTTGCTGCTTGGAGCAGCACATGTCGGTGATGGAATCGTTGCATTGTTGTCTACATACATTGACTATTAGTCAATGCTACATATTAGCATTGACTACACAGCGTGGATATAAAGTCAATGATATTAGCATAGATAAAACATACTCCCTTATGTTTTATCTATGATATTAGGGTTTTTGGGGATTTATTGATAGTGAAATTCAACTTATGCACATTGAATACAAACCTCCTATTCATTGGTATGCATTTTAGGTGAATACATTGTAAAGGTCAATCAATGATTAGTTTTGTGCTAAGAACGGTTTGAAATGGTGTTTAGATGTGGGATTCTAGTATCTAATAAATCAATTATTTATTGACTCGTTAAACATTTAAGGAAACCGGATCTGTAGAAAATAAAAAAAACGTAGGCTTATTGGAACTTGAGCCTTTTCCAATTAAAGGCGTAGGCAACAATGCATATCAGCTGATCAGTAAAGGATGCAGGGTTGCCAACTTAGGAGCTTGTTTTGCATTTGGCCATTTACACTTGGTACTTTTGTAATTAGGGCTGAGTTTAAAAAAATAAGGGAATACGGGTCGTAAAAATGTGTTTAGGCCCTACTCACAGAGAAGTCCTACTTCAATGTGGGCAAAAAAGTCAGTGCTGCTTTACCGACTTGCTGTGATGACTAGTGAGCTCTAGCGAACACGGTCGGAACTATTTCTGCTCGAGCATTGTTGATATCGTTAACAGCGAAATACACTCCCGTTCATTTGTGATTAACCAATCTATCTGAAATAGTCAGATAGCTACACTTTTTATTGAATCATAAAGTTTAAATATTTAACAAACTTTCAATGAAATATTTCTGTTTGTAAACGAAGAAGTGTGCATTGCATATATACTTGTATGATTCCTGTTGTCCTACCAAAACATATGTGCAGGTAAATCGTTCCAAAACCTTGTCTCCCACGGATAGCCTCTCTATGGTCTTTTAATCCATCATAATATTGTCAGTAATTCATTCAAAAGATTAAAAAAATATTCTACATTTCAATAAGTCTAAAAAGCCTAAAATAGTTTATTTGAGAGTTAGTTGTTGTGTTTTGTCACATTAATATATACCTTAATATTTATACAACAATTTAATACATTTAACTGCTTTCTACAAATAATTTTTTACCGTGTAGCCATTTTAATAATGGTAACATGTAACCAAAACTTGAAGTATGCGTTGCAAAGTTCCAAAGCTTTTTTACATTAAAACTAAACAAATTACTGATAAAATGGGCTGATTTTTGTGATGCAATGAAAGATTTCGTTTGCACAACTGCACTTGAAGATAGGGATGATTTTATGGATCTAAGAATCCTAATCGTAATCAGGTCATTGAATGATTTATTGTTCCGTTCTTTATCACTCGAAGGTCATAACCTCTTGTGATTTCTCAATCGCAATCGAACATCTAGCTTTATGACTATCTTAAAGAAATAAGAGGCCGTCACAGTTTAAGGGTGGAGAGCTGTATGAAAGAGTTTGAGGATTTGCATGGAAAGTTGCATTGGACTGTTTACTTAATTATTATGTTATCACGTTACACTTAAATATTCGTCGAAAAAATTACTAGTTTAATTAGCTGCTAAAATCTGTATTTGAATAGACACAAAATTTCATGAAAAATTATTTTACTAATTCCAAATAATTATCACAGTTCACAAAACTATAATGACGTAATTATATATTTGTGTTAATGGTTAAACTTAAAAACTACCCCGATTTTCGTTTAAGAAAACTATTTTCCATTACAGTTGGCAATAGTGTAGCAGATAATAATCAAACCATTAAATTCTCAGTAATCTCAGATATACTTTCAAGTGAACCAGAGTATTCTGAAATAGGTGTAATAGTTGTACTTGAATAATATCTATCGAACTAGCGACGCCTATTTAGGATGCCTCTGAGAGAAACCTTTTTGCTTTATATATTAGTGAAATTGTGTAAAATTCAAAAACTCAAAAATTTTCATCCGTTCAAAATTTAAACAAATCTCCATAAGGATAACATGGTAATTTTAATCACCACCGGGGAAGAGCCCTGAGGAGTTTTCCAGAATTTCATTTCACACAAACCTTTCCGGGGGCTTATACTTTAGAACAACTTCCCATAGTTTCACAACGCTCGGATGGCCGGTTTGGTAACGCATAAAGAACAAACAACCATACATTGGATTTTATTAATCCGAGATATTTTAGATATTCAACAGGAGATAGCTTAAACCCAACGACAACCTAATTAGCCAATAACAAATTGTAAAATTTATTATCTTCGTATTTTGTGGCCCGAAAATTACTTACGATTAACTAACAAACGCTTAGAAAAGATGTGTAAACATAAAAACGAGGTGTATGTTTTATCCCGAATTATTTTAACCATATGACCCTTTTGTTCTTTAAAACATACATGAAATCAAGTCAAAATCATACTAGAATCGGACAACGTATTAACATTGCATTAAACAAGGGCTCAAAATGTATTATTTCACACAAAAATACAAAAAAGATTGCCGAAGCTATTCCAAAAGTGTTTACAAACATGTATTTGAATAGATAATTGTGACACAAACAATTAAATAACAACTCTGCATAATCATTGTTTATTTTGGATTCGAAATGATATGACGCGCTGATCTCGGAGAGCGTTTCGTGTATAAAACGCCCACTGATCAAATTACGTAAACTGGTGAAAAACAACATTGAAGAGGAATATTATATAATTCTGTAGTGTTTGTAGTATAGGCCTAAATGTGTCAGGATCGTCCAGGGTCAAAAGCCGTCCAGGCTGACTTGAACGCAAGCTTCGTTTGACTTGGGTTATCAATGCACTTGATAAGCGCAAGTTTTTTGCGTCTTTCGAGTGGAAAGATCCGCTGCTCCAGTTTCCTGAAGACTTTTACTTCCGGTACAAGTCCGGAGTATCGGTGAATCCAGATTTACCAATCAATCTGAGTTTTAAACGTAGGTTTATAGCTTAATCTACGCTCATCTTACAAGTTTTAAAAGTTGAAAAGTTAACATACAATATGCGTACCTAATTATAAAGATATATCTTTGGAGGAAGATGCACATTTTAGATGCAGTAACCAATAAAAAGACTGAAATTGACTGATAATACTTTTATAGACACAAAAAAGTGTGAGATCTAGAGAAAGTATTTAGTGCGATATTTTAAGTAGGCCCTATTGATCATAGTAGTACAGTTGTAATGAAATGCGTTATTCTTATCGCCTATTGTTAGTTATCACCCCAGTTGCATATATAATGTACGTATTTGAGTATATCGAACGTTTCATTTGATGCGTATATGTTTTTGTGGAAATTATTTGTGAAACCACCATTGATTTCTGATTCTAAGAATATTAATTTCCTACCTTCATACAAATAATGAAAGGAATCTTTGTCAAAAGTTACATGTATAATTGTATACAGTAGTTCAAAATATCGTACCACTTTTCTAAACATATGGTCAAAATATATAGCGTATTGGAGAACATTGTCATCTAAAACAGTAAAACCAACCAATTCATCGAGATCAATCCTGCAGAATAAAGTGTAAGAAGTAAACTGAAATTAAATAAATGTTTAAAATAAGATTGGTAGAAACGGTTGTTGTATGTTTTTATATAGTTCTCTGCTTTATAATATGTTTTAAATTTTATTTTATTCTTTTAAATTCACTTATGTTTTCCCCCTTTAAATATTTGTGTACAAATTATGTAAATACCTTGTTGGAATAAAGATTCAATCATTCATTCATTCAGTTCCCAATTTAAAGGTCCAACAAAAGTAATTTCACTAGGCACACAGACTATAGGCTATTATCCAACAAAATATGTTTTGGCCTGTAATGGCATAGTCTACTCCATATTCCAGGAAATGACATTTTAAAATGTACAATTTTAATAATTTTTGTAAACTAATAAATGATTTCAACACAGCCCCACTATTCTTTAATAATGATAAACACTATTAGAGTTAGTGTTATTTCAGAGGCGTATGTTTTTTATTTAAACACTGTAAAATGCTGCAAAAATCTAAATATTCCTACCAATTTTTTGCGTCTAAGTATTTTTCAACAATCTGCAGTCACGTTACTGGATAAACTAACATCTCCCAAAACATCACCGAAGGAACTTGAACATTTGGTTAGGTTTTGCTCAATCCGCGCTTCTACGACTGGGACAAAGTCTACGTGAATCACTCGATGGATCTAGCAAATGAGTTGTGAAATTGGGTCACTCAGTCAAACTTATAGGCTACCAGACGTCAAACGCACTTATCATTCACTTATTTACAAGTTCTGTAATTGATGTAAGTATTAGTTGAGTTATCGCGGTTGTGGTCAGTACTTTACTTTCTCCATGGTATGAGAAAGTAATAGTATATTTCATTACTAGGGCCGAAGGTGGCATTTTCCGACGCGCGCTCAATTTTCATGTGTGAGGCAAATCCGAACACAGGAAAACCAAATTTTACGTGAGACGCGTAGCATGTGAGAGTTATTTTCACGTGCGAGGCGAAGCCGAGGACGGGAATAATGGAGCAAGTGTCGGAAAATAGCTTTCGCTACGCGTTATGACCGATACTTTTCATCACGACGCAAAAATTCTCACATATAGAATAACATTCTTCAGTAGTACTAAATTAATTTTATACCACTCATTAAATCTTTGAAAATCTACTTCACAACATATATGGTTTCATGACTATAGATTGTTATAGATTACTTAATTTAATTGACTTAAAAGTTTGTAATTTGCAACAGTTTGTAAACTTTCTG